GTGTATGGAGGCAGAGGAAATCCAGCTCTAGCCACTCTCTGTCTTGAAACAAACACGCACCCCATCAGACAGTGGCTCTGATAAAGCCTGTCAGTTTAACCTGGGGAAAACAGGAAAGTGTGCAAAAATCATTGCTATTACATTGTTACTGTGGTAAGAAATGGCAGATTTTGCTACAAGCATTTCACCTATCAGTGCAGGTCCATCTGGCCTGCCTTCTCCAGAAACATACTGTACACGAGTTCCTGGGAGAACAACAAGAAAGATAGCTGAGTAGCATAGATTTCACATAAACTAGCTTTTGTTTAAAAACATTATAAAGACCTGAATGCCACAGCCTAGAGGAATAGAGAAAACCCTAGGGAAAACTAAAATAAATCTGCAGTTCATTTCTATACCTTATTGTAAGTCCATGTTGAAATGCTACATTACCTGTAAGGTAAGCGTAATATTAATGAACAGGAACTCAGCCAGGCAGAACAACAGGGTCTAGGATTAAAGCCATTTAAGCTGTCCAAGACAACAGACTTTGTGGAGGAGGTATATCACCACAGGACACAAACTGGACAGAAAGGAGGATAGCTCGTGACTCTTCTCAAGAGAGCAGATGTCTAATTACTATTAAAAGAAAAGGAAAGAGACAGCAAGAGATCAGCTCTATTTAAAAGATCTGTTTCTCCTCAGGGAAGTGTGGAAAATAACACCTTAGTCATGTTTCACTTCCAAATGCTAACAGAGTTCATGATAAATACTTCGGTGATATCTACTAATTGCTTAAATAAAGACCTGAGAAACCAAACAAGAACTTGAACTTCAGGAGAGAAGACATGTAGTTCTGAGTGCTGTTCCTGCCTCTAATCTCTCTTTTTCTGCCTCAAATATGTGCTTCTAAAAAATGTTGAGTATTAACTGAAAGTTATTGCAGAAGATCCATGCCCCTTTTTCCAATGGAAGCATCATTCAATTCATTTGTCTCTTCTTAGATAACTTTCCTCCCTGACACCTGTTTTCTTGTTTCATATGGTCAGGAAAACTTCCATTCCAAGGACAAGTTCCTCACAGTATGGTGCCAACCTGGTTGAAACGACAAGCAGTAATGGCTGCATCAGTGAGTACATTTAAAGTTAAACAACTGGACTCCATAACGAAGGCAGGGGAGGATGTTTTCTTTCATTAAAATCATGTGTTTTGTTTATTTTTCAGAAATAATAACAGAGTAAAGCTTTAGAGTGGAAGAATGCTGGGAAAGCAACATGCAGAGCAACCCTAAGAACACAATAGTTGTAGAGGATGATGTCACAAGGAAGATGAGAGAAGAAAGTAGACTGAAATAGGAAGCTTACTCACATGTTGGACAAGACAAACTAAGATATAAAAAGTTGCACTTCCTGAGTTTCTGTGTTTTTTTGAAGGTGTATAAAATTATACAGAAATCACTAATTTATTTTTGCATTTTGTGAGATTTTTCATGGCAAGTTACTGTTCTCAACACCACAGAGGTAGAAGCATGAGATAATCTTAGGCTTTACTGCATGGAAAGAATGAAATAATCTTTTTTTCACTGCACAGATAATATGAGATAATGAGAGCAGTTTTAGCATGATGTATTACTCTGATTTTTTATAAGATTGTCCTTTTTCACAGTATTTCCCCAGAAGAGCTGAGGACTGTCTTTATTCAGTAGTTTATACTTGTGAAACACGTCCAGAATTTGGCTTGTTTCAGATGCACTTACCAGATCTAGGGCAGGGGGAAAAGTACCTTTCTCCTGGTGACTACTTCTGACTTTCTCTTTAAATAGTAAGAAAACAGGAGGCCGAGGTATCACTTCCAGTGTATTGGCCAGCTTGCTGGCACAAGATTTGAATTCAAATTAAGAAAATATTAAGAAAAGAGACTGGCAATGGTTAAAAGAAGTTTCCTAGGCAGAGTATTTACCCTTTGTCTGGTGTATGTCCCTAATATTAAGCAAGGCACCTTCCTTGATGGTTTTAATTTTGTCTTACTTTCTTCTGAAATTCTCCCTACTGAGGGAGATTTAAACCTTACCTTAAATTTTCCAGTTCATATTTCGGATACTAGAAGTCAGGGATTGTATTCATCACACAATATTACCCAGACAGGTGCCTTGGCTGAACAAGTACTGCCTTCTCTAAAGATTTATTTGTTTTATTCATATAACCATTTGTTGATCATCCCAGTATATTATATATCACTCTCTGGTTCCTTACAGGATTCCCTTACTCAGACAAAGAGCAGCCAAACGACATGGTCCATCTCTTTTTCTGCCTTGACAACACAAAAGGACTGTTTGGTTAGCCAGAGGCACAGAAAATGTGAATTGAATGATTCTCTTTTCAACACATTTCTAGCACTGGACGTTGAAATCAGCATAAATCAGAAATGTTTCCATAATGGCACATTACCTAGCAGCTCACTATATTGGATTTTTAAGGTTGTATTGAAGAGAAAATTAACTGAGAAAACTTCAGGAATTCAAAGAGGAGAAAATGCAGGACGCAGATTTCTTATGTCTGAAATAAAGAGTCTGGAGGTGTATAAAAGTATAAGGAGACAGAAAATGTGGAACAAGCTTCTATTCCTAGGGTGTCTACTACACGCTCTAGTGGGTATTTTATATGAATATAAACAAAATCACAGCAAGGCAGAGAAGAAAAGACATGCTGTTACAGTGTATAAAGTGAGAAGTGCAAGTGAAATCTGTATTATAACAGCTATTAGAAAACAAAACAGGAAAATACATTACCTTCACAGGATTCATGGCAGAGAAGTTGGAGTCCAAGTTATAATTCAGCATCTGAAGGGAGAAACTGAGGGCAGTAAATCAAGTAGAGGACCTGATCCAGAGATTAAGTTACATAAAGCACTAAAAGGTCACTTTCTCTCCAAATTAGCCAATTCTATATGCTATTTCCTGGACTTCAAACATTTAGCAGATACTCTGAAAAAAGCTGATAATAGTCTTTTAAAGACTAGGAAAGATGAAAGCGGTTTTTCATCACACAGGGACATGCCACTGTTAAACAGAGAGTTTAGGAGACTTGTAGCAGTGCTGACAACTACATTAGAATCAGTATTACCTAAAGCATTTTGCACAGCCTCAGTGAAAAGTAGTCAGAGATGACTGCTGTTAGACAACTTCCATACATTATTGATCATGAGATGTTCAGACTTCATAATGTTCAAGTCTGGTATACTTTGTTCATTGAAGAAGGAAAAGGCTTGTGGCCATCTTAAGTGGAAATTCAGGAAAGAAATATTAATAGAAGATATAAGAAATAAATGGCCTGAAGATGTACTCTAGAAACTCTTAGATCCCCCTCAGCTTTCTAGACAGACATGGTGTAGTTGTTCACTGTTACCAAGCTTGTTTGCATTAGATGGGAAACAATTTGTACAAAAAGTGAGAATCAATAAACCAAACCCATGCTTTAATGCAAGCTGATTTATGAAACACTGTTATCTTTGAAGCAGATACTATTAGCAATTCAGACTGCTTCAAACCCATTGCACTGGAGAATATTTCAGCTTCTAAAATTATTTCAATACACAAGCTTTGTGAATATGATGTTCAGGTCAAAATGAGATCAGGCTACAAATCCATTTTAAGGTGGTCAAATGCCACAGAAAGCACATGGTAGTCAATATTACATACAATTTAATAAAAGAGTACAACACTTTCTAGTGACTCCTGCTTACAAAATTAAGGAAGCAGTCCTGTGAGCAATAAAGCTAAGGAAACACTGATGCCAATGGATCAAATCTTGTGGCTGGAGTCACTGGAGCCTAAATAAGCGTTATGTGTATATGCAGGGATGAGTAATAGGGTTCCTCTTCTCTGCTTGACTCCTGTTTTCATGAGACATAAACCCTCTTGTCTTTAAAATTACCTCTCCACCAGCTAAAAGGTTATGGAGGGAAGTAAAGACTGATTTTCTAGGAACCTCCGCTAACATAATTACACAACAATTATTAGTTATGGCAAAAATTCTTTTATACCTGAGGATCATGTTTTCCTTCCAGAATCTTGTAGCAAAGATCTCTTCATAATGCACTGCAAAAATCTTTTGATGACTTTCAGAACGGAATGCCAGCCACTACCAGGAAATCTCTTTATAGACCTAAGTAAGAGGTTGCTTTTATGTTACTCAGTATATAATGGTATTTCATTAGTAGCCCAACCAAACACTGGGGCTAAAGGAGGACAAACAGCTGTTCAAAGAAAACAAGAGTATTTCTCTGCTGTGTAGTCTTTTGATTTATATTAAGTTTTAAGCAGGAAGGGGAAGTACATTTGGCAGTACTGCCTGTTCTAAAGGTACTTTCAATGTTGTGCAACCACTTCACAATTTACTGCAGAAAAAAACAAACCAGAAGAAATGGGTGAGAGAATTTATCCCAATAGATATGGTGTCTGTGCCACTGCTTTCTGTTGTGAGTGTTCTGATGGGAGCAGAGTTCAGGCAGGAAAGGAAAGCAGTTGAGCTTACCTGAAAGGCTAAGGCTGTTACGTGTTCAACATATTCTGTGTCAGGAAATATGTACCTAGAAGGAACTGCCCAGGGAGAGGGAGAGCTTTAGCCAAAACTGACATTGTGGTTATGAATTTAACATCGGACACCCAACAATTTCACATTAAAAAAATGAAAGAAAGCTTTTAGTTAAATTCCCTTGGTATTAACATCCTTTCAGATTTAAAAGACATCAAGCTATGTTGAGTGAAACCTGAAAAGACTGTGTATTATTTTGGTCCAGAGTTTTCACTTGTGCCATGCTCATATTTAAACACATATCTGCATAAGGTTGGGGAGAAAACCTAGACCTAAATTGTGTTACAATTCTCCTGCAATGTTACTTAGATTACCAGGATGCACACGTTCAGTGTATCTGGCCTAGTTATAATGCCTTCTTTTGACATCTATATACTTAAAGAGGTGGAATATTCCCACATCATGGATTATACAGAATAATCCAAAGAATCCTGATAAATTATTTGCTTTATTTAGGGGAAAATGAGCAAACAAAAATTCCCAAGCATGACGCATGTTTAAAAAACCCCCTGCCCTTTTCATTCTTGCATGTAACATTATCTGTTTGTGCTTATCCAGAGCCTGCTCTTGCTTTTCTCATGACTGTAACCTGTTCAACATAACCTGTACGTAACGTGAGAGATCAATTTCAGGATAGCAAAGTGCCAAATATAAATTGTGAAACACTGCCGGGCCGGTCGCCACATACACAGTTCCATGGTTTGGGACAGATGCTCCATGAAACCTTTCATCAGGAATTATTTCTGTAGCTAGCTAAGGACGTGTAAACAGAACTTGCAGCTGCAGAACCTAAACTAACAAGGAGCTACTGCTGTTTTCATCCCCCGAGTTAAAACTACAACCAATTTCTAAACGCACCTCTTTGTCAGTTTGTGTAATATGAACATTCTTTTCAATGCACATTAAAAGAGACTGTTTTCAAATTGTCCTATCAATGTAAGTGATGGTATTTTGAGTACAACTTCCGCACAGGCAAATGATGGGCTGCAAAAACGTAGGTGAGTGGCATTTCCTAACGGGACTGTGTAATTGGAATCTATATTGTATGTTCTCTGTCACAGAACTCAAACTATTCAGTCATTTTTACCTGATCTGGAGATTCCAGGAGAGTTCTGGTTCTGGGAGGATTTGTTTGCTCTCACTGTTGCCATACTGAGAACTCAGCTAAAATGAGCTTATTTTAAAAAAGCTGTTTCCAACTCTTACAGCTGTGAAAATGTATCATGAAAAGGTGACATGACCGCTGCTGATTTAGTGATGTGAATCACTCCAAAACATTCTGAGAAGTCTGTGCTACCTGCTAATCTCAGTGAGGATCTAGCTGTGAAATGTAACGACGGCAATTTTGGGAACAAAGTTTTTGCTCCTAAATTATCGAAGTACTTGAAAAAAAACAAGCCAATTAGCTATTAGCTATTTCTCTGCTAATACTTCTAATGTAAGTAGCTAGGTAATATAATTTCAGTGTGTGAACTTGTATTTGTTTGACTTAAAACTGTGGTCCAGGCCCAAAGCACACCACCAGCATCAGCACCACCAGCAGAAGTGAGCTGTTTACATGGCTGCATACCTTTGAGCCTGCAGTTCAGAAGATAAATTCCAAACACCCTCAAGACTAATCCAAAACAGCCTCTTCTGGAGCCTGTATCTGGCTGAGAAGTGGGCTTAGGAACAGGGAAAAGTTCAAGTAAGAAATTCAATAGTTCATTTCACAATTTTGAAAAGTAAAGCACATGACAATGTGCTGGAGTTTGTATTTGAATAATGTTCCATTAACAACAGAATTAGAGCCTAGCAGTTACCTCATCTACTTTTGCGAACACAAAATCCAACAGCTGTATTAAGATGGAATGTGTTTTAGAGATACACAAAACCCATACAGTAGAAAAAATAATCTTCCCCATAATGTTATAATAAAAATAATCAGACAGCTGGGGAGATGATTGTTTTCTTAATGTTTGCAGAGAGCTCAGAGATTATAATATAAAAGACCCAATAAAAGACCATTTAAATTAACATGTTTACTATCTGTAACTTCTAACCATGAAAACTTCCAGATCTCGAATGTTATTTTCCTGTGTCATTCCACTGAGCAACACAGAAGTAGGCATCTGAACAAAGGTGTTTTAGCTTGTTCTCTCATTTGGCCAGACAGTAGGTGTTCAAAGAACTTCGGATGATATCAAAGTTAGTGTCTTACATGAAAACGAACTTTCATAAATATGAAAGCCAACAGAGTTACTTCTAGTAGAAATAAGTTCTCCATTTTTAGACAGACAAAAATAAACTAAGGAAGGAGGCAGGGATAGTGATGCCAAGAGTTTCTAGGTAGACTTTTAACTAAATACTAAGAATCGTATCTAACCACTTGTGTTTTCAAAATTCAGTCTGAGGTTTAATATTTTTGTCAGCCTTCTCTGAAATGCAAAGTTGGGTTGCATATTTACAGGTCTTGGTAAACTGTTCCCAGCCCAGGGGCATGATTCAGTGTCATTCATCTGTTGAAATAAGGCTTGTTCCAAAACCAACTTTGGTCAAAACAAACCTGCACAGAGACTAACAAACCTCAAGTTAATTATCTCTGCAGTTCTCAACTGAAATTGCTTTCTGGCAGTACAGTTGTAACAATATAGCATAATTTGCCTCCTCTTTATCAAATTATTCTTGCTTTCTTACAACTGCACATTAGCAAAACATCCTATAATGAGGGGATTATTTGGATTAGTAACTATAAAATAAAAATTACAGTAATAGTTGTATGTTTGGCAATTGCTGTTTTGGTTGTAAAAGTATGAGGTTATACACCACCCAACTTGCCTGTTATTTTTTGTACTTTGAAACATACAGTCCATTTAGTTGAATGATGTGCAAAAAAAGTAAATGTGCAACGAAACATTATCCATATTCAAAATATGGGGGAAAAAGAATGTCTTTTACCTTTTGTCAGCAAAACCATCACTCCTCCCTGCAGGTCTTGTGACTTTTTTTCTTAACAAAATCCAGTTGTTGTCACTTAGGGATTATTTTCTCTTGGTGGAAATATACTACCATCAGCACTGTAACTGCAGACAATTATTTTTAGAGCAGTCCCACTATTCATGTTTGCCTCACTTGCTGAATATTCATTTAACTAGCTTTGTCCACTTTAAAACCTCAAGGTTATTTTTTGAATGTTAAAGGTATAAATTATTGCACTGCAAAATGTTCTATTGGTTCAAAGCTCTGCCTTTTGATAAGTGCACCCTTTAAGCAAATATATTTTGCTTTCAGTCAGTTGTGGTGGTTGAATTGCAAATGACGGTGTGGAGACAAAATGAATTTGGATAACGAAACACTTTAATCACAGATGTTGCAATTTTATTAATTACATTACTTCCCTGTCATTTGGAGGACATGACGCAGTCTGGGAGGCACAGCATAGCGGTTCCAGCCCTGCAGTGCATGGTTCTGGGGTCCCTATGGCTCATCCCCACTCCCTAAGATTGAGGAGCTGATCTGGGTCTCTGGTGCCGGCTCTTGGGGTTCCCCACCACCCAGCATCTTTTCTGTACTGTATGTTTACCTCTTAAGTGTCCTCAGCTACAGGACTGGGAGGCCACAGGACCTTGCTGATGATCAGTCCCTTCAAGCCAAACTATCATTGCCTGTTTCACTGCACCACTGCTGGAGCTCATCATCTGCCTCTTCAGACACTTCCAAATGTGTTTGCACTGTTGCTCAGGACACGTGGTTGATCATACTTCACCTACTTGTACTACTACAAAAAGTTAGTTAAAGTTCATTGGCTTACATTGGTAGTGATGCTGACTAACCTGAACTCACTGCTGACGGCAAGCAGAATCCTGTTAAACACGTAGCTTATGCAGACAGAAAGGGCTGGACATTACATTCTGACTATGCTAAAAAAACATATCCACCTCCCACTGAGAGGCTTCTATTCAAGCATACTCCATTTCCCAATACCTTTCCTAATGCAGCAACTAAACGTTTCCCAGCTCACACCCACACTTACTAATCTCCTACACCTAGGAGGCCATGGGGAATTCACAACTCATTCTCTGTCTTCTAATTAAAAAAAAACCTAAATATCATCAACTTAGCCATGGGAAAGTGCTGCCTGTGGGCAGCACCCACTGAAGGCAACTCTCAGGACAGACAGGCTTCTACCTCAGCTTCTTAGGCCAGCGTCAGGGAAAGTTTTAACTTCATATGGGCAAAAAAATTGCCAACTGAGGTCTTACTTGCTAGATCTAAAGAAAAATACTGTTATTTTATTGTACAACAACAGCTAAGTACTTTCTTTTTACTATGCTGAAAAGGGGCCAGCTGCCCAATCTGGAATTCCTGTGTGTGGTAGAACTGATCTTATTTTCATCTAACTCTATTAATAAGTGAAAATAAAAGAGAGAAAAGAATTAAAAACCAAATATATTATTAGCTGTAGTAAGACTATAATGAATCTACTCACTTGAACTCTGCAATACTGCATTCCAGCTGCAGCAATCAAACCTGGTGTAAAAGCACAGGAAAAACATGGAAAAGCCCAAGTCTTGTTTAAAGGCTCTATACTAACAGAACAGAGCCAGATGGTGCATGCCCTGCAATTTCAAAGTAAACCAACTTTTTAAAGCAACTTAAAACATATCAGGTAGTCTTAATGTCTTAACTTTTAGCACTCTGGATTTATAAGTTTGTAATAGAGAGCATCACACCGCAAGAGAATCTAAAAGGCAACCAGTACATTTTGATTGGGTAAAATTAAATACAACATGACTGAAACTGCTGGTACACACAACGTATCAGACATTATTCTAAACCAACTATTTAAGACAACTGAAATTCAGTTCAAGTTGGTGAGACAAGTTGAGCTTGTAACTGGACATTTCCTTAAATCAGAGCTTTTTCTCTAAGAATGGAGGGCAAGGTACTTTTAGGTAGTTTCATCTTTATTTAATGAACACTTTGTTATTTTCCTCTAAAGATTTTCATTCATTTTATCTAACAAAACCATTTGGGTTTGTAAATAGGATTCCTGGCAGGTTGTGCATCTCTCTTGCAAAAAAAATCCAGGAAATGGTGGATTCTGTGCATCAGTATTTCAGAGTGCAGCAGCAGTTTTTCTGGACTGTTTTACATACATAAATAGAGCACATCAAAGTACCAATTCATTCTACATGTTGTACTTGGACTCCAACTGCCATTTGTGCAAACCATCTCCACTTGGGAAGAAAGAGGCTTTCTTCAATTGCAGAATTCCATCAAATACAACTCACCTGCAATTCAGATGTGTACACAAAATGCAAAGCTTTCTTGCAGGTATCTTATATTAAACTCTATTCCAACTACAAGATTTGATAATATTACCAAAAAGATGTTTGCATTCTGGAAGGCGCTTTGCCTGCAAGATGTCCACTCTTCCACGCTTCTCACCTTTCTGGAGCGAAACTAACAGCTCACTGAAACATTAAAAACATATTTATGCTTGGTTTGCTTTAGCTGACCCAAGATGAATAAGAGTCATAACGGTAGTGTAGCCATGAAGCAGGTTATCCTTTATGTCATTACATTCTCTTAATACGAAATTCCCAGTAACTATTCGATCACATCCTATTTCCCCATGTCCAAAGAAGCCAAAGAGGGGAACGTTTGGAAAAAACTTCCTAAATGCATCTGCTTCCATATTCCTTTTGGTTTTATAATGCCGATATCCTCTGCCAACACACGCAAACATGAAGCCAATGGTGTTATGCTCAGGGATATTTGCTGCTTTGAGACGCTGCATGGCGGCTTCTGCTGTCCTCTCATCAGCTACATCCTGGTCTAACAGAACAGTGGCACTCTGGATCTGGGGACCGCTGAAAGCCAGCCCAACCACACCGCAGGCATCGCCGGGCTGGGCATTGTTACTGAAAGGCAACAGGCACCGAGTTAGAGAACACCCAGGGAGACCACTTCAACCTGAATAAAACCCTGCTGTGGCAGAAGCAGGTTTCAAAGCAGACCAACATCCTGTGAAAGCCACACAGTCAGAAAACAAATCAAAACCTTTATGTTTGGAATTTTTTTTTCCTCCCCTTTTTAATAACTTTTCACAAGGAAAAATTTTCACATCCATTACTAGGGATTAAGCATATGCCTACCTTTCAAATACATGCCAAATTCAGCAGTTTGTGTATGTTGCAGCTCTCTAATTCCAACTAAACGAATAGTTAAACTTCAGACACAAAGATACTCAGCATTTACATATCAATCCAGGGCAGCAGTCGGTAATGGCTTCAGATTTACATTAAGTCTGCCTGGTTAGGCAGGACACACTAGTTTTAGCAGTTACCTACTTACGCTTTATTAGCACTAACTGAAAATACAGCCAGCTCTCTTAACTGAAGTAATGCCACAGCCAGCATAAGTCAGATGCAAGAAAAATGTTGGTATTGCTATGGAGTCCAGATCTAGGCTGGCACGAGAGGAGCCTGTGTCTGTGTCTGCACTGCATGCCCCAGCACTGTGCACTCCAGTGAGGATGCACCAGCACATCAGATGGCACAAAGGGCTCACTCTGTGCAGCAGAGCAGCTGTAGCAGTGGAAGCCCAAACCTGCCCTACAGGGATGCTGGCAAGGGAAACAGTTTAAACTGGATGAGATCTAGCCGGGTGCTGTGAGTGCTATGTCCTTCAGCAGTGGTGGCATATTAGGTGTGCTCCTGGAGCACACCAAACCCAGGCTGATGGAGAAACAAACTGTTCACATGAATGGTCTCTGTAACAGCAAGTGATACACATAGGGCAGCTGATGCTGACAATCTCCTTTGCCAGGAGTTCCTCATAGCTGTGTTTCCAGAACCCTGTTTGCAATACAAAGTTTCCAGTGAGATGACAGTGTAGCAGCTAGACTCCATCTCTCACAAAAACTAATTATTTTACTGCTGTTAATGGACATTTCTAATATGACATAACTAAATGGCTACGGCTTCTGGAGTGTTTCTTCCAATTTAAATCTTTACAATTTACCTTGAGAAAGATACCTACTTCTCAGAGGTCAATGATGTAAAGCTCTCCACTTGCCCCCCAGCCAGGATGATACTTTTTTCATTCAAAGGATTGACTATTTGATGCAGAAATCGAGTAGCTCCAGGCTTCCAGGAGTTGTAGCCAAACAGAAGAACCACCCGGAGATCTGGGTTATTCTTCAGACCTACAAACAAAACCACAAACGCCAATCCTCTTACCATTTTTAAATCCTGCTCCCTAAAGCCAACCATCCCAGTGTCTCCTCAAATGATACATTACACCTTTAGTAATGGCCTTTCACTGCTGCAATTTTCAAAGCAAGATAGAAACTGCCCCAGCATTCAGGAGCTGGGCTGCATTCCTGACCTAAGTGAGAATTTCTGAACAGAATCTAGCAAGGAAAAACAACTACATCTGCTTCCTAAAGCTTTCTGCTTCTTTACCATATGTTTATACATTATTCAAGAACCACCACAACACAGCAAATATCTTTACCTGAGAACTAAATAAATTACACACATCAGACAGTTGCTTACCCCAAGGTAGAAACTGCCAGACCCCTAGAAGACTCAAGAAACCCTTATTGTATTACTCTTCATAAATGACCTACCCTGCTAAGGACACAATGTGAAGAATTTAACAGTGCTGTCCTCTGTTCTGTCTTTCTTTGGTACACCACCAAATGACCTAAACGCAAAGTTGTTTCAGAGAAGAAGAGAAGCAGCTCCTGCCTACTCCTTTCTAAACTGTAATGACAGGAATCATTCCTAAGGGGAGAGACTCATTCATCATTATTTTTTACTAACTAGAGACTGCTCAAAACTTAACAGCTCCGCTGGCAAACTAAGTGAGGTAATCCAAGACCAATACTCAGGATAACTTGACCTTAATGCTCCACAGACAGGAAGAACGCTGACACATAATTACCAGCTGCAGCCCTACAGAGTGCTCTATGAACGAAGTTAGCACAGAAGCTGTTGGTTCCACGTGTTAACTCCACACTGGCACTCAAAAGAGGAATACAGTAATCCAGAACAGCCCAAATAAAGAGAAGAACGTACCTGCTTCAGCAAATTTGCTTTCATCAAAGACCCTGTTCTTCACATCTTTAGAAAAATGGAAGGTATGAATTTTTACCCCATCAATTTTGGGAAACAACAAAGCAAACCCAGCTTCACCCTCTTCGATTTCTTGAGGTTGATTGCTGCTTGAACCCATCGGGGTAACTACAAAGATACAAAAGCAGACATCTTGTGTTGAGTGATTCTAATACTCTCATGTACACTAAAACAGATTAAGAGGCAGAACAGCTTAGGTGATGTAAAATATGACAGCTCATTTCCATAGCAACATACCCAATTAACAACTGTTGTGATATTTTTGGTTGATGCTTTGGAAAGATGAAGCATGCAGGAGTCCTAGATTGTGCTCAAGTCACTTTGGACACAGAGACACGGATATACGTAGACACTTCCCCCAGCCACAGCAAATATACAACAGTTGGAAAACAAGCACTGTACAATACAGCTGTCTCAGGCCTCCCTGCCAACTTCTGCAGGCACGCAAACACACACAGATTTTTAACACACAAGCATGTGATGACAGTATAGAGCAAACTGACACAAATACTGGGAGCATATTACTGAATTATGCTAGTAACAACAATCAAATACCCTATGTATGCTGTGGGAAGAGAATTTGAGATGAGAAACTAAGAAAAAGCTTTGCGATAATAAAAAAGTGAAACAGTAGAAAACAGACTGCCATGGGAGGCTGTGAATTGTCCAGAGTTACTGAATATGCCCTCTGTTAGACCATAACACATGGGTACATACTGAGGATGTCCCATATGATTAATCACAGTATATGAGACTGAAAAATACAGAAAAATCCAAGAAACACCCAACTATTACATTAAGGTGCCAGCAGTAAGCTGGCTGCTCAATTAAATCAACCCTTTTAATTAGAATGGCATCAGACAAAGTAAGAATTTAAGCTCCACGTGACTTAACAGCAACCCTGTGACCTCCTTAAAATCCGAAGGTAGCACTGACAGAGGTGGGAGCAGAACATGGAAATCAAAGTGAGAACTCTCCATCAGTTTAGGACTATGCTTTCAAAAGCAGAGAAAACTGTGACAAACAGCACCCGGCAGAGAGCTGTGATACACCAAACACCTTCAAACTGTCTCTCACAGAATCACACATCTTCCTCCTACCTACAATCCCTGGAGTGACCAGTCCAAGAACCTGACATCGCTTTGGCAACAGTTTTTCAAGTGCAATTGCTGTTTCTTTACTGTTTCTTTTCCTGGCTGTTAAAAAAAAAAGGCAGAAAGCAAGTGAATTGTTCTGATGGGTACTGAGACAAACCCTGCAGCAGTCCCATGCTGCCCATCAGTGGCTGTCCCATTAACAACATGGCAAACCTGCACTAACCAGGAGGAGCAAACAGAACCTGTATCCCCCAGAGAGTGGGAAAGCAACTCATCTATGTAACAAAACATGAGATGTGCTTCACGCAAGTGCAATACTACATGGTTGCAGATTTTACTGCAAAATATCTACTTTCCCCGGAAATTCAAACTCAGAATCACAGAATCAACCAGGTTGGAAAAGCCCTTTCAGCTCCTCCAGTCCAACCGCTCCCCAGCACTGCCAAGGCCACCACTAACCCATGGCACTGAGGCCTCGTCCCCACGCTGTGTGAACACTTGCAGGGACGGTGACTGCAGCCCTGCCCTGGGCAGCCTGTTCCAATGCGTGAGCACCCTGTGGGGAAGGAACTGTTCCTCAGCTCCATCTAAACCTGCCCTGGTGCTGGTTGAGATCACTTGTTACACGGCAGAGTACCTCGGAGCATTCCCTTTCAGATGGCTTTCCGCTCTGTGCGCCTCAAGCATTTCGGGGGGGAGGGGGGGGGTTATGTGTTACCTTTCTTCTGCTCGTGACACTCCTCATGCCCGCTGAAGGTTTCCGCATCGGCGATGTACAGCACGGTCTGGGGCAGCACATGCACCTTCTGTATAGGGAGAGGAGAAGGAGCAGGAGGAGGAAGAGCAGGAGGCTGAGGGCTGCTCACCCAGCGCCCGCTCCGCAGGGCGGGCCCCGGCGGCTCCTCAGGCGGGACGAGGGCTTGAGGGAGCCCCCCCACCCCTTGAGGCGCGAGCCCCCTGAGGCGGGAAGCCCCCCCCCGAGGCGCGAGCCCCGCGCCCCTCAGCCGCGCCCGCGCGCACGGACCCACCTCGAGCTCGCGGGCCATGGCGCGCACCAGCGCGTGGCTGTCGGCGGGGCCCGGCTCCAGCGCGGACACCCAGGCGAGGCGCTGCCGTGCCCGCAGGATCCGCCGGGCGCACTCCCTCCACAGCCGGCACACGCTGCGAACAACAGCACCGCGGTCAGCGGGGCCGGCCCTCCCTCACGGCAGTACTCATACCCCAACCCCCCCCCCCCCGCCCGGCCCTCGCCCCTTACCAAGCGGCGCGCAGCAGCGCCTTGGTGGGCAGGAAGCCGAGGACGCGCTCCACCACCTCGGCCAGGTTGCTGAGGACGAACCCGCCCTTTGCGGCCTCCATAGCGGCGCCGCGGCCTCCCCTGCCAAGCCGCGGCCACGGAGGTCCCTGGCGCACTTCCGGCCACAAGGAGGCGGGGACAGCAGGAGCAGCCACGCTACCGCCGCCTAGCGGCGGGGAGGACGCGAGGGCTCCTCACCACGCTTACACAGAGCACCACGGACCCAGCGCACTTCGTAAAATGGTTTTTATTCATAAACTTGATGCAAGTTTACAAATTACTGTACATTGCCAGGGCGCTCCGCCGGGAGAAACGGAACCGCACCCGGGGCCGGCTCTGCCCCCCCCGGCACCGCGGCTGGGTGCGCTGCAAGCCCGGCAGCGCGGCACCCAGCGCACCAGGGCAGCCGCGCGGGCTGGAAGCGGGGCCAAGCCTCTCCCATCCTTTCGTTCGAGCTAAAACCTGGATGTGGGAGCAAACGCCCAGGGAGCCGCGGGTGCCTGGCGGAGGAGAGAGCACAGGGGTGATAGTCAACTGAAAACAGAACAGAAACATGCGTCTGCGCTTCGAGAGAGTGCTTAACTCACGGTGCGGCCCCGCACCGGAGCGAAGGACTAGTACTACAACCAAAATAGAATCGATTTAGTTAAGGCAATGAAATATACTGTAATTACACAGACCCAGATTCGTTTCCTAATAAAGAACCAGCAGTTCCCATTCATCTCTCCATCACAAAACCACTGTCATGACTATGGCAACGTTTCTTAAACCTCTGACTCAGGTGATGTGTTTTTGTACTTTAGTGTAGCTTTTATATAAAAAATTTCATCCAAGGACTTTCATCTCGATTTGTGCCAATCACTTTTATAAGTTCATTAGTTTACAAATGATTGCAACAACCCGTTAATAAAATGGAACACCTAAAAAGGTTCTTTTTTTTTAGTATTTTAAATAACTTCAAGCTTCATACTGCGGCTCTTCTTGTTAAGGAGCTTGAGCCAACAAGTAGCAGGAACAGCTCAGCAAGTTCTGATGCCCCAGTGGAAGTGACTAGTTACAAGGTTTTATTGGCACAGCCTTGCTCTGCTTCAAAAAAATTACAAAATAAACCAAAAAAAAAGGAAAAAAAAAATTAACATAACCTAAACAAAGAACATCTCTTCCAAAAACCAGTTCATATTCTCATACAGCCATGAAAAATGTTTAATGACTTAACATACATGTGTTCTTCCTATATCATTAATTTGGAAATACTACAAATGCTGTCATTTTAGACCAGAAAAAAAAAAACAAAACAAAAACCTACTGTGATTTGCAAGACCTGACACCTCCTAAAACAGTATTAAACAAAGGTATTAAACTTCTTGGCTTTAAATGAAAACGATACAATGCAAGTCTCTGCAGTTTGCCTTTTGCAAAAGGTAAGAAATACACAAAAGTGTGTTGAACAACTCACTCCTATTGAATGATCTTCAGTAACTCAGTAGCCTGCTGGAGGGAGCTTATACTTTCAAATAAAAAAGGGAGAAGGGAGGGCATGGCCCAAATATGCTGAATCCATAAGAACAAATACGGTAAAGGCCCAAACTGCTCAGTCCAGATACCTAAGAAGAGCGGAATGGTAAGGCTGTAACTTATACTTTACGTGTCAGTTGACAGATTATCCACTAACTTATCTAATAGCTAAAGTCTTCAGTACAGCTGTTATAGGGGCACTCATAGCTTGAGTCTGTGTGTTGGAAAACATAAAAAAGAGCTTGTTTTGTTGACATTGGTCCATGTATGCAACAGTCCTCAACGTTAGCCATCTTCTTTTGGAGGAGTGTACCAGCCTGCAGGGAACAGAGACATGCATTAGGTACCGACATCGCTATGTCAGGACAGTCCTACACTCCGTTTCTTGGAGATAGAAGTCTAGAACCTGGCTCCTTCCTTCCCTCTTTAAGGCCAGCTCAGCAAGATCCAGTGCCCAAAATGCTAGTGGTCTGCAGTGGGACATAAAGCACATGGTATATTCCCAGATCACACCCAGTATTTGGGTGTGAAAACTTAATATTTCCACGTTTGGGGTTTTTTGTGGCAGCAGCTATCCTGAGGTTGACAAGCTGGACATGAACAGGGGAAGCTGTTGAGAAGGAACATTGCTGTAACAAAACCAAATGAAATAGAGGTAAAACCCTCAAGTCTTCCAGCCATTTAACGCACAGACATACAAACATGACTACACTGGGATATTTGTCTATAAATCCCACCTCCCATACTGAAGAGCTAGGCACATACAAGCATTCGAATTGTTTATCCTACTTCTGTAAGTCTTGCTGCATCAACAGGCTCAAAAATGTCAGTTGAATAACTTGTCTCTTGACTGGATTTGGCATGTTTAGCAGCTGAATCACACCTGAACAAATGTGCATAGGGGATTTTTTTTTAGTCACCTTCAAATCTCCAACCTTAATTCCCCAACACTACTGTAAAAATTCCTCTGATTTTTTTGTACAGTGAATAAGCAGCCTATTTACTTTGTCCCAGAGAACAGGTAGCAAAAATACACCTTTTACAGCAGCTATAAATGCTGTGGATGCTTTGTGTACAGCTCGTGACATGGTAGTAATCACTGTAGGCTAGCACATAGCTACAAGTAAAGAGAGCACCATGCTGGCTTCTGTAGTGAACTAAAAAAGCAAAAGGCTTGGTTAATGGCAAAATCAAAATACCATAAAATTGGAAAGCATTTTAAAGTTGTCATCTTTGATCTTCCTCCCCCTTGTAGAGAAGGCATTATGTTCAATTTTAGAGGTAGGGAAACTGAGGTGCTCGCTCCAGCCACATTGAAATACACTAATGTTCACAGCAACATCAGTTCCCAGAAGACACTGGACCACAGGACATCACAGAAGTGGTAAGTGGACTTAACTCCCTTGCCATGACACCAGGGTACCACTTCTACTGACTACTTTTACATAACATGTCAGTCACTTAAACCTTTTAAAGCCTCAGGTCATTTGTTGTCTCCTCATCCTGGCACAATGAACACAATTATACCTGAAGCACTTGAACACTTGTTTCATGCAGCTAAGAGACCATAAACTGGCTTTAAATAGAACAATAAATGTGTCTCCCATTTCTATTGGGACAGTTTTCCGGACAGTGCACTTGACTTGGACTTCTTGTATTTTCTAAACCTCTGGTCTTCCTTTCCACTTTATCGCTTCCTTAACGATTACTGCAAGGTCTTGCCACATTGAAACAAACCCCTTCAGGGAAAGAGGTAAACCTCCAGCAGCCACTTCACTAAGACACTCTGAAAGCTCCAGTAACAATGAAGTTCCTAGATCAGCTGGCCGAAAATGAAATTGAACCACCTTTCAAAAGACAGCAGGAACACACGGAACATCCACGTAAGCTGGAAAAGTTGCAATGATTGTTAGTCAAGTTACTTTAAGCACTGTTGTCTTCCTAGTGCAAGATGAGAAAGAAACACAGTATGTTCTTTCCAAGCCAACATAAGACACTCTGGCACTTAGAAGTTTTACTGAGGCCAAATATCAATCCCCAGGTTGCTATGCAGACAAGAACAAAAATCAAAAGAATGTACATACCATTTTTCTCATGTATTTGTACTAGTGACTTATAGGACTGCTGTGCTCTTGCTAGGTTATATTGATTCTGAAAGGAGAAAAAGCTAACATAAAAAACTGGCAGCCAGACACGTGAGACTTAAAAACAGTTTTACAATGAAACTCTGCATCAGACTTACAATTAAAAACCATGCACAGTGTTACAACATTCCTGGATTTAAGGCACAAGATTTTCAAAACAAATACCCTTATTTTCTCATTTCTTTTCCATCATCATAACAGTAATTTGTACACCCTGACTGCTGGAAAGGCCCCTCTTTGAGAGGGTTAAGAACCTGAGCAACTGGAATGAAGGCTTCAGGCAACGTGCCTTGCTCAGCTGACCAGTTACTGGGTTAGACAGAATGGTGATCATAAACTTTTACATCTTACCTACCTAGGTGACTATCCTTGGAGGAGTGCTTAAAAACTAGCATCCAAGTGACAGTCTCATTCACTTAAATATTTAAACATCCTTTGGAAACAGCATTTCATACTTCAAAGTCTCTTAAGTTACAGCCTGTTACCAGCACGCCCACTTGAACTGAACTGTGATTTTCATTAATGTTGAACAGCTAGCTCAGGATTTGCATGGCATTATTTTTCACCCTCTCATGAAACTTTGCAGGTGCTTGGGCCAGCTAAAGGAGGAGAACTCCTTAATATCAGCATACGCTACCCTGGCAGCCAGGCTGTCATCTACAGCCCTTCTCAGATCTGGAATTTCCAAATACTCCTGATTACCAATGCCGATACCACTTCCTTCCCCACCTTGCCAATACAGGGATAGATAGTGCAAGTCTAACTGCTTACACACCCTGCCCATCCCAAGGTTTTATCCTCCCATGTTCATCATTTAACAAACTCGGAGTTAACTGCCAATAAAATACTCACACATGCACCAGATGTCATGATAAATCAAAATGCAAATATATATGCAATGACAATTCTGGTGTTAAGCATCTTCTGTGCAACTCAGCAAACAAATGAAAGCCTAATAGGAACTTCTGTAACGGATATAACACAGCATATTTACCTTATTGGCTCCAAACTGTACTCTGGCTTTTCCTTTGACTAAAGTGGCATTGATCTGCATGATGACTGATTCTATTGAATAGGCACTGCTCCAGCCCTGGAGAAAGAAGGAAATATTTCTGTATAACATGTACTTGCTTCTTGTGCTCAGCTTACGCATTGATGTTGGGATATGTGCTGTGGGAGGTTTATTTTTCTGAACTCTGTTTTTAAAGTACTTGTTTTCAGTTAACAACAGAGAAACTCCGCAAAGTGCTATTACAGTCTTACTACTAAGAACTTGTAGGAAACCTGGAAAAGCTGATTCACACATTTCCAAAATGCAGCAAGACAGAAACAAGAGCAGTTCATTATTACACAGCTACAGGTTGGGCAGAGAAGAGATTCAGAGCAGCCCTGTGGAGAAGGACTTGAGGGTGCTGGTCAATGAGAAAATGAACATGAGCTGGCTTC